CGGGCCGGGCCGGGCCGGGCCGGGCCTCGGTTTTTTTTTTTTGGCTTTTCCTAATTAACCCCCAACCCTCACCCCCAAACCACCTCAAATGGCCCAAAATACCAAGCCCAACCCAAAAACTTAAAAAAAATTCAAAAAAAAAAAATAATTTGGCCCGAACCGGCCGGGCCGGTTCGCCAATCAAAGGGCCCGGGCCCGAACCGCACAGTAACCGGGCCGGGCCGACCCGAACCGCCCCCCGGACCGGTTCCCGGGCCGGGCCGGTTCAAACAGTAACCGGGCCGGGCCGCCCGGCCCGAGTCCATCCCTAGCTCCATACAACCAAACGTCCCTCGAATGAAATCCTTGTGATACTCCATTGGACAACCAAGCACCGCATTAAGCAAATCCATATTCATCACAAGTTTTTGTTGTAATACATGTGGATCAGTGACGGTTCAAATCCCAATTCCATCAACAATTCATGTGTCTGGCTTGGAGATATTGGAGCTTTCTTGCTAAGAAGCTCACCAGAAGTTTTGATCGCATCATAAGTTTCGCAAGAACATAAATGTAGGCACATTTGTGGTTCTAAAGGAGGTAGTTTTCTTTTAGTCATCAACAATATCTAGTAGCTTATAATGACCTGTTTATGTGCAGATTTGTGTCTTTCATTTATTTCCTTTTACTTGGTATTGACTCTAGACATTGCTCTTTTTTTAGGTTGCTGTATTTGCCCCATCAAGGTCAGCAGCTTATCTTAATATAACTGTCAAATATCTGGAAAAGGTGTTTCTTATTGTTATTACTGCTTTAAGATGACATACTCTACGCTTCTGAAGCATCTATGTAATCTAATAGTCTGTTTTTAGAGTTCACACAGAGTAGTACATTCTAGTCTATACTCCCTTCCAACTCATAATAAGTGAAAGAATACAAGATTATAAAATGCCTCTAAAAAACTTTTAAGGAAAAAGAATACAAGAATATGTTTAAAGTTTAAACTAAAGTGAGATTTTTATGAATAGGTGTAGTTTAAACTAATATATAAAGTGAGATTTAAACTTATATAATGTCTGCAGCTACTTGTTCTTAATTATCATGTTGTACTTGCATGTTATTAATATGTAGAATATTTGCTTTGTCTGGCAAGTCATGGGGGCCGGAGTAATCTGATCATGTACGAGACCGTCGTGTAGGTTGTTTGTTTAAGCTACTGGAACGTTACATAACAAAAATATGTTAATCGGCTAAAGCATCAGGATGCCATGTAGCAAGTACAACTCCATCAAGTGAAGGTAATGTGACACTTGACAAAAATATTGTTCAATTGTCTCTAAAAAATCTAGTGAACCTGTTGATTGAGCCTAAGAACAAGGTCATATGAAAGCTTTGTCAAATACAAAGTGAAGCTACCTTTTATTGAATGTCATTTTGAACACTTTCAGGGAGATTTGTTTTTAGTATACTGTTTATTTTCATTCTTCAATTCCTAATCTATTCTCGCAAAAAAATCCATAAACTTTAGTTCTTACATTATTTTAGTGTTCTTCCATGTGTCTATGAGTATGTCATGGAGAAACACTATAGAAAAGTAGTGAATCCATACACCCTCCTCTGCCAATGATTAAGCCTCGAAGTGAAGACTATTGTAGCTCCACAAGATTGATTCGACCTCTAATTGTTCACATTGCAGTTTCATACTTTTTACTTTATTACAAGGTTTTAATTGTGCATTTAGTGAAATTGAAATGTACATTAGGTGAAATTGAAATGTACAAAATAAAAAGTAAACTCAAATGTGAATTACATGGAATTGAAATGGGCATAAAAGGCACAAAAATGTTACACTATCGTAGCTTTTGTTATGTACATTTCAGTTTCGCCTAATGTACAGTTCAGTTTCAATTAATGCACATTTTAGTTTCACATAATGTCACTATGACGTACATTTTGTGTTGCACATTTCGACTTCACGTAATGCACATTTCAGTTTCAACCAATGCACGTTCAATTTCACATAATTCAATCTAACGGTCCATATTTATTCTCATTTCTCTTCTAAGGTCAGTTTCTCATTCGAACCTAATTCTCCGAACATATTGTGTGTACTTCGTATATCATTTATAGACGACCAAAGAGAAATCATTTTGTGCCGGTCAATAAATATTTGACGGTAAATATTACTCCCTCTATCCCATTTATAAGATGTCTTTACTATTCACTTGGTTAACATAAAATCACTATTAATCTCTTACTTTATATATCAAAATTTTATGAAATTTGAATTGCTTTTTGCAGGTTTTGTAGCGGTTTTAATGTAGTTTCTGAATATGTAATTTTGTTTTTCTAAAAATAATTTGAGTGCAGACAGGGATCCGTTTGCTTTATCGTCGCATTCGTCGGTCAAACATCGTAAACCGAAAATTATCTTATAATTCGAGACGGAGGGAGTAATTAAATTGATAGCTTCACTAATACGATAATATATTTAATTACATTTCTCGCGTGATTGTGAACTAGCTAGGCAATGCCTTTAAAGTTTTGTTAGGTGTACACATTTTATGTACACCACTCATTTTTCATGCCTTTATTAGGCTGTAAAGAATTGAAACCGGAATGGAGGATTCAAAAGGAAAAGGTAAATTACCATCCCTTCTCTAAAGTGATGAGTTCATATCCACACGGACGGATCTAGGAATTTGAGATGCCTTAGACGGAATAGAAATTATATTAAACTTAAATATTAGAAGGTTGAGCTAAACGTAAAAGATGAAAAATTTACACTAAAAATTGAAATATTTTTTAAGTTGCCCTAGACATCAGGCCTCCAGTTTACCCCACCATAGCCCTGCATAGATCCCTACATACGGAGTAGAATAGCTATATGCCTATACACCATCTACTCCGACACTCCGTATATATGAGCTACTGTAGTAAACAACCTTTTGCTTATAAAAGCTGTTTATTAGGTTATTATTACTTGAGAATTGGTCAAAAGAAGCTAAATTAAGCTAAGGTAGCTAGGCTATAATGAGTACTTCACAATTTTCAGACACAAACGTATGTTATCAAATGCCGCGTCATGCACGTAGTGTGTGCTTTACACTTAAGTACACTGATTTAGTACATACCACGATCTTCGGGCCTGATATGGAATTGGATTTCCGATCCCGGGTCAAGAATGATCCGGTATGGGCAGGCAATGGTAATTCAATTTTTTTTGCTTTATTCCTAGTGGTTGAAAGCCCAACTGCTAATTGAAGCCAAACCGACACTTAAAAAGTTACGTGTTTGGTGGAAAAAATAACTGATAACCCTAATAAATTGAAAAACAGAGTCACCGGATGAGCCCCTTTTCTCTAATATACGTATATTCTACTCTATTTGTCTCATTTTGATTGTATTACATTCCTCTTTGGGTTGCCAAGTGACAACTGTTTGGGTTGGCAAAAACTATGTGATCTATATATATCATTTCAGTTTATTATATTCAAATAACAAGCATGATTTTTACTTTGCAACCACTTTATTAATAATTGATCCAAACAAAAACAAAACATTCAATATAGGACACAGGGGTGGACATATCGGTTTTTATTGATTTCGGTTTGATTCGGAAAAGATTGGGAGAATTAGTGCCCAACAAAAACAAAACTAGTTTTTGGTTTGGTTCGGTTTAGTTCACTTCAGTTTAGTTCGGTGGGGTTCGGATTTGTTGTTTTTTAATTATATATGAAGGTTTTATCGAATTTCTTTAATTCGGTTCAATTTTATCGGTTTTAGTTCAGTTTAGTACGATTTCGATGAAATATTATCAAACTCGAACCAAATTGCATATGATCCGGCTGCGATTATGTTTAACCGAACTGATACGTCTACCCTAATAGGACACAAATAATATCTACGGAGTATGAAGGTTGACCGAAGATAAAGTTAAATGATCCATGTGAAAACTCGGATTATTTTTAGTAAATAAAATTTACATATTCAGAAACTACATTAAACCCGCTACAAAGCTTGCAAAAAATAATTCAACTTTTATAAAATTTTGATATAAAAAGTAAAAGTTTAAGAATGATTTAAGTTGATTCTCGATAAGCGAAATGGAACAACTTTTAGAGAGAGAGGGAGTATTAATTATACATTACAACATTACAACTTATACGGTTAGCAAATATGGAGTAGCACTTAGCAATGACACTATCAGTAGATAGATCATCAGCCACAAATGCAATTTCCCTTCTCCACCATCCACAATTGACATCAGTGATAACTGTACTTTTGTCGCCACACTCGCCAGGTAATAATAGCATAAAAAACAATACAGTTGCTGCAAGTTGTATATATATACTACAATTGGATGTACCAAGGTATCTACATATACATCTAAAGAGTAGTAATATTTCAATGACATTTTGGGTACTTCACTTTCAATTTGGGTTTAATGCACCAAACTCCCCTGTGATTTGGAAATTCGGCGCATTAGCACCCTGTGATTTAAAAAATGCGTCAAACCCCCCCGTGTTTTAATTAATCATGCACAGAACCCCCTTTATGAATAAATTTAACGATTTGAAAATCACTTTTCCTAATATTTTGATTGAATATGCAAATAAATATGTCAAAATCTCTGAATCATACAAAAATGTTAATCATTTTTCTTTTATTTGACAATTGAATTTGTTCACATAAGGGATTTGGCGCATGATTAATTAAAACACAGAGGGGTTTGACGCATTTTTTAAATCACAGGGGGCTAATACGCCGAATTTCCAAATCACAGGGGAGTTTGGTGCATTAAACCCCTTTCAATTTTGCGAAAAACATTTTTAGTATCTCGTATTTAAATTAGTTATTGTCCGAGCTTGCTTATTTGGTAGCAACTTCCTGAATTTAATTTTTATCAACATAATTTTGATCATTAAATTGGTATAATTACCCGACTAGTCCCCATTAATTGGTATAATTCACCCTTTAATTTACTAGCTGAAGTTTGCTCCGTCAAAGAAAGCAACAAATTGAGCGAGTATCCAATTCGTCCATTGAAATTTTCGGTATAAATAAATTAGTCAAGTAATTAATTAATTAAAGGGAAGCACATAAACAGGAGCTCAAAACTTCTCGATTCCGTTAAAAACTACCCCAGATCTATATCTAATAATAAAACAAAAACAAAAACAAAAAGGTCGTTCCGACGGTAAAAGATGAAGATCGTAGTTAAAAATTAAGCAGAATCGTGGTAACAGAAAACAATACTACGGAGTATGTAATATTCATCTTCATCAACAAGAGTGAAAGGACAAAGAAGTGGGCAGATGGTGGTGGTAGCGGTCGTGGCGGTTCCTGGCGGCGGCGGAAGTTGCAGCTTCCTTCTCAATCAGCCACCGAATATGGAGGAAATCGTCGACGGAGCAGGGAAGGCGTAAGGGGCCGTCGGCGTGGTAGCCGTACACTTCACGAGCCCTCTCTAGAAGGCTCTGCAACAGAGGATTGTAGAGGTATGAAATTGGAATCACAAATCTCTGGATTCCCTTCTCTCCTCCTTCTCCTTCGTCGGTTGACCCAACTTGAACGGCAAGCCACCCTTTCTTCACCTTCATGCTCATCTCCTCTGTGCAATCCGATATCGTTCCGGAGTTCGGGAGAAGAGATGGGGGTTTTTTGGAGAAAGGATTGAGCGTGCCGAGTGAGAAGAGTGGTGTGAGATTATTAGGTATTTATAGAGGGCAGTTCACATCGCGAGCCCCTGAAGAGAAGCCCTGCGCGGACAAGATCATCACAGGGTGATTCAGGTGGAATTTTTTTATGAATTTTTTTGAGCATGTTCCTCATCAAGTCTAGTTTGTCCATACCAAATTTCAGCTCAAAATTCGATCGGGAAGGCATTCAAATAAAATCTTGAAAAATATGACGCATTTTGCGCACATATAATGTGCAGTATGTTTCCAGAATTTATTTGACTGCCTTCCCAATCGAATTTTGAGCTGAAATTTGGTATGGATAAACTAGATTTGATGAAGAACATTCTCCAAACATTTCATCAAAAAATTCCATCGGGAAGACCCTCTGATGGTCTTGTCCGCACGGAGCTTCTCTTCAGGAACTCCTGATAGGAACGGGACTCTGTATTTATATACTACCTACCTTCGTTCTTAAATAAATGCAAGATTGCAAATTTTACACTATTCACATGTTCTACTTTCATTACAGTTTATTTATTGATGTATTAATATATATTTTTGAAAAAAAATATTATTAAATTTGTTTCATTGTAAATTTTCAAAATCTGATTTTTTTTTATTTTTTTACTAATAGAGAGTTACATATATTAATGGTCAAAGTTGTGCCTCGACAAATGTGAAATGTTGACTGTTGCACTTATTTAAGAACGATCAAAGTTGTGCACTACGGAATAATATACTCGTATATATGTACTCCATACATGATACATACATATGTACCAAATATATTGACAAAAAAAAACAAGAAACTTTGAAATTAGATAATTTCCCCAATAGGAGCAACCGATGATGATAAGGAAGTACACAAATAGGTTATAGGTGTATGTTTTTAAAATTCCTCAATTGTGAGTATTTTTTCGGCATGGACAATTATGTCCTTGCATGAGCTGTTGCAGGAACTGTTGCCGTCGTGATCGGTCGATTGTTGTGCCAAAAACTTCAAGATTGCATTTGCCACTAGCGTGCCACCGCTGGTTGCCGAAGCTACCATCACTATCGAACTTATCTAGCTGTGCAAAGGAATTATGAGATAATTGATTTTTTTAAAAAAGAAGCTTTCATACGATCAAACGACCCAACATCATGAATAGACCGTGTCTCCCTTCTAGATTTCTAATAGCCACACTCCCTCATAATCAAACACGGAATAGATCACCAAAAAATGAGTGAGACTAATCGTTGAGTATGCGAGAATTTCGAATCTATTATCGGCCAGATTAGCCAGATGGCCTCCACTCAATCTCACAACAAAAAACACCCACAAGTCTCAATAATTAACAAAGAAGTACAAGATAGTAAAAGAAAAAAACTTGAACGCAGATAGAGCATAAGAGCGCGGGTGACCAAGTCCCACCGTGAAACATCGACCTCTGATCGCTGGCTCTTCATTCGCTCCAAGGCGGTGCTTCAGGAGGGGGGGGGGGTAGCAATACTTCGTCTTCCTTGTTCATCTTGCCATCCCTTCCCGTCTCTGACCTTTTCCGATTTCTTGCATCGTCATTCATTATGCTTGGAACAGATATGTCCTTGTTTCTGCCGACCAATGTTTGCATCTCACGTGTTGTGTTGTCCTCCATCTCCCCACTGCTCTCTCACTGAAAAAGGTAAACATCATACGCACACCAATGACATCGCGCGACTCCAGAAAATCAACGACGGTTACGTTGCAGACTGCAGGCTACTACTTTTCAACAAAGTGCGGTACTATTTTGTGGGGTTAAAGGCATAGAACCCCCTTGTGATATTTAAATGTTACGCATTACCCATCTCTGTTATCAAAAATGCACGAGAACCCCTTGTGTTTTCATTAAACATGCTTACCCGCCTCTCTCAACATAAAAACTAACCCCGTTACTTTTCTTCAAATATCCCGTTACACCCTTATTATTCAATTGCAGCCTTCAAACTTCCAAAGTGTTTACGCTAAATTAGGGTTGTGATGCAGTTGATTAACGAAGCCAGCTCAACTCAAATAAAGATGAAGCCCTAGAGTGACACGTGTCAAAGTTGTTAGAAAGTTGGTTGATTAGCTAGCTTCTTGTTATAGATTTGAGCGAAGATATATACTGATTGTAATGTTCAGATGGAACTCAAGAAATGAATAAAAAACTTCTTCTCCAGTCATTCTCTCCTTTCTTCTCTGTATGTATGTTAGATCAATACATCTCTCGTTACTTTGTTCTTACATTCACTCAAGTAACCTGACTTGTATCAGGTTGGCCGTTCAATACTCTATTCAACATTCGAAGGGGATGAAGTCCACCCAAATGGAATTGTATCCGATTTGAAGTCAGAGGATCCATAATATCAAGCTTCCACCAACTTTTCTTCTTAAAACCGGTACCTCTACGTATTGGATGTCTACGATGGTGAAAAATTAGGATGCGGCTCGTAATTGTTTTTTTTTCTTTTTTTTTTTTAAATTGTTTTTTAGGTACGTATTACCCATTTACCCATGATTAGTGCTTTTCGTATTGCTTGATACTTTTAATTTTACTTTTTTGGTTTCTAAATGTTTCTAGCTTGTTTAGTAATACAATTTGAAATTTCCTTAGGTTACTTAGTCTAGTACGTATTACCAGGGATTATAATTTGGGCTTATGTAGAGTCAATAAAAAAAGGATTATTGTTATTTTCTTTTTCTTGAAATAAAGTAAATAAAAACAAAATCCGAGCTCTAATAGGAAAGAAGTGGTCCGTTTTGAACTGCATTTTTTGTTCTAATTTGGGTTATTTTTCTTCTTCTACACTATGCATCTATTGAGCAACGGCTTTTCTAGTTTTGAATGTGTGTGTAAACATATATCGAAAGTTCTGCATTTTTTAATTTGAATGTGTGTTTGTTTGCACATTATGAGCCCGTTTGGTAGCACGAAAGTCGGCTGATTTAGCTGATTCTGCTGAAATTTATGAAGTTCTGGCTGAATTGGCTGCATTGGCTGATTCTGCTGATTTAAGAAAAAATTATTTTAAAAATATATTTTATTAATAAAATAAAGAAAAAAGTATGTGTAAAAATAGCTAAAATGGTCATTTACAGTAACTTCAGCCAATACAGCCAGAAAAGTAACTCCAACCTTACTTTTTTTTGCTTATTACATAATTCAGCGCGCGAAAGCAAAAGTTACGCGTATGGTGAAAAAGCTGGTTGATAAGTCTGATAAGCCGAAAAACAGTGTTGCCAAACGGCCTCTATATTGAACAGATAAAGGTGAATAATTAATTGTTTGATCGAATTGATGAATAGGATTTTGCTTAAATGTTAAGGTTGTTGTTTTTAATAACTACGGAGTAGTTGCTAATTATTTTCAAAAAAATAATAACTAGTTGCTAATTCTGCCGGCAATGATTTACTCAGGAAGGATTAAATTTTTATGAGAATATTACCTGAAATAAGACTAAAAGGGTTTGAAAATTCCAAAATAGAACTGCCATGCTTTTTTTTCAAAAATAGCACTAATTACTGTCATGTTTTGGCAGTACCGGACTTCAAACATGGCAGTATTTTCCAAACTTGACAGTAATTACTCCTATTTTGGGAATAAAAAACATGACAATCTTATTTTGGAATTTTCAAACTGTTTTAGTCCTATTTCGGGAACTTTCCCAATTTTTATTTAAAGTTGTTATTTGAAAACCTGCTAGACTTCAAATTTGCTATTTTTATTTTTTAATTTTTGCGTATTGTTCCAGCCATTATTCGAACAGCTCCATGGATCACTCCAATTTAAGGTTTTAAAATTAGAATTTGTTATAAAATGTTGCTGATGCTATACGTGGCATCACTTTTTTAAACGTGCTTCTTAAAAAAATTGTAAAAGAAGTTAAAAATCTGGCAATCAAATAATTAAATGTAGTACTTGTATAATTAATTGTTCAAGTCTACACACTTCACCTACAAAAACTGAATACGAAACAAAAAATCAAAAAATCAACTTACAGCCATTATTAGGAAAGGTGGTGATAAATATGGGGTAAATTGGACATTTTGCTGGTTAAAAGTGTGAAAAGGTGACCCAAAACAGCAGTAATCGCGCGTGTGGCACAATCAAGTTATCTTTACCGTTTTTAGGGGTAATACGCTTAGTTTATTAAAACACACAGGGGTTGTGTGCATTTTTTATAGCAGAGGGGGCTAACACGCAAAATTTTAATATCACAGGTGGATTTAGTGCAATTAACATTTATTTTGTGGGTCCTCTTTGGACTTTGGTGCGTCTTCCACCAAAACACATTCCAATCTCATTTATGGTCTCATTTCTTAAAGTAAAATGAACATGTTCCATTAAGTCTAAAAAAGGGTATGACAATATACTACGTACGGAGTACTATTTAAATGAGTAACAACGTTTATTAAATCTCATGGAAAACATTATTGTGATTCCATAGAACGATATATCTCTGACACAAGAAAACCATCATACCAATGAGGAACAACTATGGATTACATATTAAAACGCCTCATTGAAAAGTCCGGTTGAGCATCACTCGAAAATGAAGCTCATTTTGTTAAAAGCACTTCTTAGTATAAATCACAAATAACTTCCCAAAATGAAATTAACGCAAAGGATAGAATTCAAATCAAATTACAGCAAATAACTACTAAAAAGTAATAACCTAAACCCATGAAGGACAACATGAACACCTCACATTATATTGCAAAAACTTCAACCCCAGATCGAGCAGTGATTAGGCGTGGGTAAAAGTCTCTCTTTCTGGCTGTACTACTCGAAATCTTCAAGTAAAACATTAGTTTAAGAAATAAAAACATCGTACTTCTCTTCTGGAATTCCAAATTGTCTTTACTCCTTTTTGAACAAAATTCACTTAACAATCACATATAATGAAATACTCCAACATTGAAATCTAATTAATTTAATTAGTATTATGAATAAAAAAATCAGATTTAAACTTATTATGTTTGATTCGTTTGAAATGAGGATTCCATGTGAAATCTTGTTTATATTGAAACTAAAACCTATTGTTTTCGTTATTGCGGAGTATGTCGTTTGAACCTTGAACAAATCGGATAAAACCAAAATAATGTTTGAGCAAATTAAATTAGATAATGAAAACATCTAGAGAAATTCATTTGTCTACATACAAATAAAGATTTCATTAGCAATACGGATTCTTACAAACACTTGATACGTAATGTAAGGCCTTCAACAGTTCAACTAAGGTAGGATAAGAGACAAAAATAGGATTCCTATCTAACATTGTAGTTTGCTATACCGAAATTAATAGTAAGGGACAAAAATGCCCTTAATGAGTACTCCAACTTATTTAGTAATAAAAATATAAAATAGAATAATAAACTAATTAATGCATTACACAACAAGTCAACAATTTAGTTTTCCTTCCCCAATCACATTTGCTGCGGGCATCACTCAAGGGCAGTACTTGCACCGCCAACCGCCCTAACCACCGTTGGACGCCGCCACTAGACGCCTCCACTAGATGCCGTCGCCGGACGCCGGACGTTGCCGCCGCCAATCTCTGTCGTCACTGGACACCGCCAGTCTCCACCGTTGAAAAAAGTTGCCGCTCTCCACAGTTGCCGAACGCCGCCAGTCTCTGTAGTCGCCGGACGCCGCCGCCGCCACCATCTCTGCTGCTGCCTCCTTCCAGGGTCTTGGCAGTCACCGGCCGCCGCCGCCGCCATCTCCGACACCGCCACATCCATCCCCCAGCCTCTTTTGGCTCCATCATTTCAGATCTGGAAATTAAGAATGCTTTAGAATGACATCTCATCCCTTGAATGTCATCTTAATGGCATTCATATTAAAATAGAAGAAGTTTTATTCTCACTTTGACATTTAATGACATTATATACAGGGACGGATCCAGGAAATTGACTCAAGGGGGGCGAAATTTTTCGTTAGTGTAGATGCCGAAAAATTTTTCGTTAATGTAGCGGCGCGAATTTTATTTCCATAGTGTAGTGGGGCGAATTTTTTCGGTGTTGTAGGGCTATGTGACTATTTTAATTCAAAAAATGACATTAATACATACACATTCCCAACGATATTTAAATCTATTACATTCTAAGTTTAGACAATGACAAAGACATCAACCAATACATTTTAAATAACTTCTACATTGTTTAACCTCATGAATCGGTTATTGAATTGTAATTTTTGTCTACCAAGGAGGGTGTTCGTGAGTCATGACTCATGAGAAGTTTTCTTAATATTACAATAGTAATATTTATGGGATTATTATTTTTAGATAATATGCACCACATATTATATATGGTACATATTATATTTTAATATTTGTATTAATGCTATAATAATTTAAAGTTTATTATCTATGCAATAAATTATTTTTTAGAAACCAAGAAGTAAACAAATTATGTACTTTAATTTCAATAAACATTTATATTTTGGATCATTTCACGTGATCTAAATACTGTGTAATTAGTGTGTCTGATATTTAATATAATTTGATATATATTTTACAAAATCCAGTAGTTGTTATCTAATAAAGATAATTAAACATTACAAAACTAGGAATTTTTATATAATAAGTATCCCAAATCTTAAACAACGAGTTATTCTATTGTTTATTTGTTTAAGCTATGTAAATTATTTTAGATGTTACTTCTTTCAAATCTCCAATTAACTATTACATAATGTAAGACTATATATTAATTTTGAAAATTAAAAGCTAAGGGGGGCGAATCTAATTAAATTATGAAAGTTCTATGAAAATATTACATATATGGTAGAAAATTTTGAAAATCCAAGGGGGGCGGTCGCCCCCCACGCCCCCCCCCCCCCCTAAATCCATCCCTGATTATATATATATTATATCCACAAGTGTCATATATTGCCATAGTCATGGACATAATACAATACAAATGACAATAAGTGCAAAAGTATCTTTTATATTTAAAAAAAATATGGCATATGAATATCATATTTGCCATCTTGATGGAGTTAATATACAAAAGGAACTATGTATCCAGTAATGCTTTTACATGAACAAACATGTCATTATTATTATTATTTTATTTACAAAGAAGTAATATTTTAATCTTAATACCATAAAAACACTTTAAAATGGCAATTATGGCAATCTCAAATTCAAACCAGAAAATAATTTGTACAAAAATATTTATTGAAAATTAAATGTAAAAATTATATTCTATAATGTAAAATATAAATCAAAAGTCAATCTTTCAAAAAAGAAATTAAAAGAAGAAAACGATTTTTACTCAACCGAACTAACTCAAAAAAATATTAAAAGTCAATCTTTCAATTGAAAGAGAAAACTAAAAATCAATAAAAACTTAAAAACAGATCGCCTAGGATGAAGAAAATTAAAGAGAAAAAATGAATTGGTCCTAATCAAACAACAAGCCACCATCTGAATTTGAGAAAAGAAGGGGAATCGAGAAGAAATAGAGGAGAGGAAGAAGAAGAATGAGGAGCAAGAGATTAAAACTTACCTGTGAGTGTCGCCGCCGTCTGCCGGTGGCCGGAGTTGCAGGAAATGATTCGATGTTGGAGTCTGTAATCTGACAATCGGAGATGGGGCCGTGAGAGAAATCAGATCTGAGAAAAAATGGGGGAGAGGAAGAAGAAGATGAAAAGTCAGAGAGTGGGAGGTTGCGTACTAACGTGAGAAAATCTGACAAAGAAAAGGTAAGTTATCTGACAAAGTAAATTAATTTATGAAAGGGGTAAAATTGGGAAAAGACACCGACGAAATAATTGATAGCTCCTATCTAGGGAATTAATCAATAAGAACTCCTATTTTGGAATTTTATCCATGTTTTACTCCCTTTTAGCGTAATTACTTAAGAGAAAATCACTGCTACAAAAAGTGTTTTTTCTATGTTATGGAATAAGAATTATGGATTAAAATGTGATTAAATTACTATGTAATGTACAACCGAAACCAATAATACTAACTACACACTGTTGTGGTCTTATTTGAAAGCCGTCACAAATAAACTAGTGTCGGCTTAAGTCATTGAAAGTTTTTACTACACGTAAGGTATGATGACGCGATCATAGGTTATACTGATTACGTCCTATGTTTGAGAGTTTATATAAGGTATGTTGTACGTGATCATAGGTTATACTGACTACGTCGTATGTTTAATTTGAGATTTTATAAGGTATGTACGTGATCATAGGACATAAGGTTTGAAAGTTTTTACTACGCGTAAGGTATGATCATGTATCATCCTTTAACTACTCGCACGAGTAGCTCAACTGGTAAAGTGGCGGAAAAGTTAGACAAATGACTGATGATCAAAACCTACAATGATCGTGTGGATGTCGCAGCTCCTATGTTTGTGTTGGATTGGGTCTCTGGTACGCACAAGTATAAAGTTTAACACCATTATAATTGGTTGAGTCATCGTGATTTACAACCCCCGATACTCCGTGGAGTCAGAACGTGGAGACCTTTGGAGATTGGGAAATCAACCTTTTGGACAAAATGTATCATCCCTTAACCAGGGGTTCTTGATGATGTCGCACGATGTCACTGCGTCACACCACCCTATGCTGAAGAAGTTGTTCTGTTCGTCTTAATCTTATTACTTATTGCTTATTCTTATTTTATTCAGATCAGATCAGATCAGATCAGAAAAATTCAGATCAGATCAGATCAGATCAGAAAGATTCAGATCAGATCAGAAAGATTCAGATCAGATCAGAAGGATTCAGATCAGATCAGAAACATTCAGATCAGATCAGGAACATTCAAATCAGATCAGGAACATTCAGATCAGATCAGAAAAGTTCAGACATGATTTATCCTTTTTATTATAATAATAATTATAATAATATTTATAATAATTATAATAATTATAATAATTATAATTATTATAATTATTATTATTCTTGTTGTTGTTATTGTAATTATAATAATAATAATAATAATAATAATTATTATTACTATGATTACTATGATTATTACTATTATTACTATTATTATTATTATTATTATTATTATTATTATTATTATTATTATTATTATTATTATTATTATTATTATTATTATTATTATGATATTTATTATAATCATGATTATTATTATTCTTACTACTAATATGGTTGTTGTTGTTATTGTTATTAGTTTTGTTTTCGTTATTATCATATTATACGGAGTAATTACAATTAAAATTATAGAAATAAATATTATAATTATAATTATAGAAATAAATATAACTATAAATATAATTACAATTATAATTATAGCTATATTTATAACTAGTGTAATATGTATAATAATAATTATACCTATTATAATTTTTTTTAATTATAATTAAAAATTTTATAATTATAATTATAATTATAATTATATTTAAATTATATATGTGTAATTACATTTATAATTATAGTAATTATAATTGTAATTATAATTTTAGAAATATTCAAATCAGATCATATCAGAAAGATTCAGATCAGATCAGAAGGATTCAGATCAGATCAGAAACATTCAGATCAGATCAGGAACATTCAGATAATATCAGGAACATTCAGATCAGATCAGGAACATTCAGATTAGATCATGATTTATCCTTTTTATTATAATAATAATTATAATAATATTTATAATAATTATAATAATTATAATAATTATAATAATTATAATTATTATTATTCTTGTTGTTGTTATTGTAATTATAATAATTATTATTATTATTATTACTATAATTACTATGATTATTACTATTATTACTATTATTATTATGATATTTATTATAATCATGATTATTATTATTCTTACTACTAATATGGTTGTTGTTGTTATTGTTATTAGTTTTGTTTTCGTTATTATCATATTATACGGAGTAATTACAATTAAAATTATAGAAATAATTATTATAATTATAATTAAAATTATAATTATAGAAATAAATATAACTATAAATATAATTACAATTATAATTATAGCTATATTTATAACTAGTGTAATACGTATAATAATAATTATACCTATTATAATTTTTTTTAATTATAATTAAAAATTTTATAATTATAATTATAATTATAATTATATTTAAATTATATATGTGTAATTACATTTATAATTATAGTAATTATAATTGTAATTATAATTTTAGAAATATTCAAATCAGATCATATCAGAAAGATTCAGATCAGATCAGAAGGATTCAGATCAGATCAAAACATTCAGATCAGATCAGGAACATTCAGATCAGATCAGGAACATTCAATTCAGATCAGATCAGATCAGATCAGAAAAATTCAGATCAGAACTTAGAAAATTCAGATCAGAAAATTCAGATCAGATGAAGAGAACAGCTTCGAAGTCATAGGTGTATTACGCGTACATCATTCTTTCTTCATGGTCACATTTACATGTAGCAAGGACATGTGTATTTCTATTATTTCTTATAGATAACCCGTTTTTCAAGATTTTATACTATGGAAGGGCATTTCTTGTATTCCTTTCCCAATTGTGGAAGGGCATTACGAAATATGGACTACCATTATAGTGAATTGATTGCAGCTCTCTCTAAGAATTTACTTTTGCTTCTCCATTTGGGTGATTACCAATAAATCATCATTTTGTGATGACTTAACATGGTATCAATTAGATTGGTTTCACCCTCCGACCAAATCAGATCAGAATATATCAAACTTTGGTAACTATAAACACTACAACAAAGTATAACTTTTTAGCATATTCAAAATGTTGCAATAAGTGTAAAAAAAATGTCACAATATATCAAATGCAGCATTTTTAGTATGTTGCATCTTAGTAGTTACAATAGATGCATTGTAGCAACTTATCATTTATTTTAGCATTTCTTGTTAAAATATACTCCCTCCGGTTTTATTTAATCTTCACACTTTGACTTCACACAAAATAAGAAAAGAAATTTGACTTTACTGTAGAGTACACTGTTGAGGCACTGTTTGACATTGTTTGGCACTGTAGAGAGACACTGTTTGGCACTGTAGAGACACTGTTTGATATTGTTGAGACACTGTTTAGTACTGTTTGGCACTGTTTTGATGTAGATTTCTTTACCAAAAAAGGAAATAAGGAAGTGTGAAGTTTATTTTAGACCGTCCCAAAAAGGAAAGTGTGAAGTTTATTAAAAACCGGAGGGAGTATATTCCCTCCGTCCCAAATTATTTTGCAAAGTCAACATTTTTTGGTCAATCAATAATAAAATTCAAATTTTCCTATCAATAATTAACTCAAGTTTTAATAATTAAAATTTACATATTAAGAAACTACATTAAATTCTCTTCAAAGTTGTAAACCCCAAATTAGAATATAATTAAAAATTGACATTGGGGGAAATGGAAACTAATCATCCAACCTTTTAGCAGTCTTTTAACAATAGTTCCATCTTTTCGTTATTCAAGAATAATCCAACCTTTGCACATCATCTTCATTCGCTGGTCCCTGACCGATTAATGACCCGCTATTCCAAGTTATTTTTTTATCTTTGCAAATTGTTATCTTTGTGAAAGGTGAGATTTATGGTATAATGGTTTGCAAAGATAAGAAAATAACTTGGAATAGCAGGTCATCAACCGATCAGGGACTAGTGAATGAAGATGTGGTGCAAATATTGGATTATTCATGAATAACAAAAATGTGAGACTGTTGTAAGAAGACCGCTAAAATGTTGGATTATTAGTTTTCATTTTCCCTTCTATTTAAACAAATAAAATGAAACTGTTTGACAAACAAAAGTCAAATTTGCAAATCAATTTGAAACGAAGTTGGTACTATATTATAGCAATTTTTATGGTGTTACAAAATGAATGCTACAATAAACACTTTTGTACCGGGGAAAATACATGTAGGATAGACATATACTTCGTACTAGATTAGTCAATACGATGAGAGTAGAAAATTATAATCTAATTAAAAAACATCAAATCCTTAAATTGAAGAGCTCCCATAAAAGGGGATTTTAAGTTCCAATTGAACTACTCTACTTGTCATAATTAAGAATCATTTTGACATTTTGAAGAGAATCGTTTCTCTTCCACCAACTACTGCCTAACACGCACACCTAAGAATATTGTGTCTTGTTTCTCTTTGCTTTAAGAAAAAACGCATATGGAAGACTGACGATCAAATCTTGACCGCCAAACACAGTCTAACGATACACGTTTGCAACTTTTTATCTTTTGGATGTTGCGTCCATCCTAATCTGCTCCTTTAATTAAGACTAGAATCAAAATCACCTTCTTAATCCTAATTGATTAGTTCATCACTTGTCCAAAGTTTATCATCATTGAGATTATATGATAAAAAAAATCAATATAACGAACCTTTTCAGATGGAGGTAGTATGAGATTATTATATACAAAAAGTCCACTATATTGAGAGCCTTGAAATGGTATTTGAAATTAATAAGTAGGAATTTGAATACATCAATTGGAATTTAAAACCAAAATGTTGAAATGATAATATTTGGTATACATATCAACTATGGGATAGTTGAAAGCAATGTAGTGAACGATTAAATTAGAGCATCTTCAATGCTGAAATGTGCACGGTGCACATGTGACATGAGAGATATCCACATAAATATTAGCAAATAACCTACCTCTCTCCTT